CTACCTATTATAAATGTTATTTTTCAACTGGTTTCAAAGATGCCGTTTTCACTGTGTAGGTTACTTGGTCAGGCTTTTCAGTAACTTCTATTTGAACAGACTGAATGACATTTTTAACAGGCCAAACTTGGTATGCATGTGTTTCATCTATCTTCCTGATGTCACTTATATTGCCTACTTTGGGCACAACTTTCATAAACAGCTACTGTATACGTGTACAAGGAAATTTTCACCAAGTCAAACTTTCGCCCTTTACCCATGAAATCAAATTTCGCCCAGTGTTGATTTTGCATTTCACATTTTTTATTTTTTACTTATATTCGCTGTAATGATAAATTCCCCCTCATCACAGAGGGATAAAAAGCAAAAAATTAAACTGCAGTGAAAATTTCCTGATATACAATATTGCAAATACTGCTGATTATAAAAAACCCATATACATAAAGCTTGGCAAAGCCAGGCCATAAGGGTCATCAATTTCAGTCCAGGTATTTTCCCATATGCTGACAGTCAGTGGCCAGCTGTATCTCTGTTTAAGTTTAATTTGTGTATACTTCCTATTCATGACAGTAATAGTCAATGAAGCTCAATTTACCTGGCCTTATATACACGGGAAATGTCTTACGGTTCGTCAACCTTGGATTCAGAAGCATTTTAATTATATAGGCTGTACAGATTGTCACACAATGGATGAGTATTTAGTCTTTGTAATGGACATGAGGATGAGAAATTATCGCTAGCATATTAGATCCTGGGAATAATGTTGTCATGAAATGTCTATATGGGAGTAGATATATGTTGGCTATCTTGTCTCCGCCTGTGTAGAACAAGATGAAAACTGCTCAAATTAGTTGTACCGGGTGGGTGTGTGAATTCTGGAGATTAAATTCGTGAAGCATTTCGAAAATGTGTAAGATAACCACTATTTTGTACGTATAGATGGTACATTATATTGATTCATTACAAAATATTGAAATAATCTAAGGGAAAGTGGTGGATAGAAAGGAGGGAATTGAAGGTTTCTCATGATCATCACTACAAAAGATGTGATTTTGAGGCTTTCTCGTCGATGTACAGTACCACGTGAGCATGTCTAGATTGAAGTGCCGAGGACTGTGTAATATCTATACCTTATACAATGTCAGGATATAGAGTAGTGAAATCATCCAGGTAAGTTACCTGTTTATTACATTATTACTCCCGAGTCATAAACTCAATCACTACTACCGGTATCTGTAACCAAGATATACCTGTATATAGATGAAGAGTATGCAATTTTAAATTTATAATACTTACCTGCAGGCAGATTTTCAAATATTCTACCAGCCTCTACCTATATTTAATAGTGAACATTGAAAATTTTGACTAGAACCGACATAAAATGTACTAGGCCTGGGCATTGGGCTAATGGAATATCTTTAAACTTTTCTCATTAAGATATATATGATATTTTTATGAAATTCTGAAATATTTTTTGCCAATGCAGTTAATGATACTAATGTAAACTTAGAAATGAGGTTTTGACATGTGAGTGGAAACTAGTCCCTTTAAAAGTTGGTCATCATTGGGAATGAGGGCATGAAACTCAAATTCTATGAAACAAGATTGCATATTCGGCATAGATTTGAATAATCGTAAATGGTGTTTCATTTTCAGTATTTCATATTGAATTCATTGCAAAAATGTAGTATACACTCTAGTTTAAGGGGGGATTGGGGCAAGGTCGAGCCAACAAGTTAATTAAGAGGGGTAGCAGGGATTGAACATTGAAGAGGGGAAGGATAGGGGTAGGGGTAGCTGAAATTAGCTACCAAAGGGGGTGTAGAGTTGAGCCACCTTTCGGCAGCCGATCATTTAGGTGGAATGGAGTGAACCACCTCTCGACGTTCGAGGAGAACCTCGCCACCTAAGGGAGTCTGGAGCGAACTTAGACCTATGGCATCTGAATTCATTTCAGGACTTTTTACTGATATAACATATTACTTAACCCACGCGTCTATATAGCCGACATCTAGGTTACAGGGAACATTAATTTCAATCATTCGGGAAAAATAATGAGACTTTATCAAAATTGATATCATTTTTAACCTCCCAAAATAACTTTCATAATGTGATACAGATGTTGAAATAATAACATACTCTGCTCTGAAACCACATTATTTTGTAGAGGAATCGTAAGTTGAACTTGCTGGTAGGGATCCAGACCTAGTTTACTTGCAGTATAAAATGCTTGCATGATAAAATAATTCTCTACCTGTTGAATTATATTTATAATTGTGCAGAAATTACAGGCGAACCGCTCAAATTTTGTTATTTTGTGATCTAAACAGTAAAAAAAAAAAAACATGACTAAATTGTAATGTGGAAATGATCATTAATGAGTAATAAGTCACATTCTCTAAAGTACATTTACTACAAAGTGTGTTGCAAATTGTTTTTACTGGAACAAGCTGAAATATGATGGAGATTTTACATGTACATACACAACATTCAAAATATTAGGAAAAAGAAATTTGCTTTAAGTTCTTTTATCTTTTTATAAATTATAGAAGTATGTTGAAAGAATTTTCCCCAATTTACCTCTTGTACGTCTTCCCCACCCTCTATTATTAACTTTTACCATTTACAAATACATTGTTTTGTTTACAATATAGAGTGCAAGGTAACTTATTTGTTTATTAAGCTGACTACACTTTTGTAAAATTGCAAATTTGAGAAATACTGCATGCATACTTGAAATGGATTACTAGGTCAGTATATAAATTATATGTGACAATGAAAGTAATTTACATGTAAGGATCAAAATCAATATCGACACATGTTACCTGAAATTAACGTAGATGTTCAATACTATAGTTGATGTCGTCCATTTCCAGTCACCTGCTGTAGTAAATGTTGGTAGATGGCATAATTAAGCTCCTAATTCCAGGCAGATTAGCTACTAACTGAATCCACTAAACTTTTGTATGTACTAAAGATTTAGTTCACTGCCCAATGATTTAATTTACCAGACTTCCAGATTTGAACAATGGGACAGTCAGTCTTGTGATCAGGGCAAACAAAACAATAGTTGTGTATCCTGTTTCTATCCCTATTTCTTTTTCTCTATGCTCCCTCAGTTTTATTTGAGGTTGTTGTTGTTGTTGTTGTGGTGTGTGTGTGTGTGTGTTGTTGTTATGCTCTGATAACTATCATTGCTCTAGCAAAAAATATTAATGCTTAACAAGAGTTTGTTCAAATATTATACAAAGATCATGATCAAGTATGTTTAATAAATAACACGTTTAAGGGTGTGTAGTACAAACACNTGGGGGGGGGGGGGGGGGGGGGGGATGTCCATTAAAAAATTGTTTTGAGGTCTGTAATGCTTATGCAACTATTTGTTTTGCTTTGCCTAGCTTAAAGGAACATTCTATAATTAATGGTAGGGGAATCAAATGACCTCACTCAAACAGTACTTGTTCAAAGATCAATAAAATCCCAGCCATTAATCTGATAACATTGCACGGTGTTCCTAAATCTTAAGGAAGGGTATACGTAACTCAGATCGTGTGTGTATTTTATTCTTAACATTGAATATAACAAATTGTATATAAAAAGTTTATCTGCTTGAATTGACACTGTTATTTCACTTTGAAAAAACAGTTGTAATGAAACTATTGTGTGTATATGAAAACTGTATGCATTTTACAAGTTCAAGTTACCAGCATTCAGTATTTATGTAAGATTAAGGTATAAACTCCTTGAAAAGATCTGGATTTAAATTCTGCCCTAAGCAGAATAAACAGATTTTAAAATCAATATGCTAATCTTTTAATTTTTGTTCTTTTATAATCAGCAGAGTAATACCAGGATAATATCAATTCAAAATAAAGCTTGTTGTAGAATTTTGTTATCCTAAAAAGCCATGGCGCGCGCCAATATTCAACTATCAATTAATTACAAGTTTTCATTAAGATTTTGGCCGACATTCAAGTGTTTGCTATGAATGGGTAATTTCCTGTTGTCGTAGCAGTGAGCTTTTTACGATCTGACGGAATCGTAGGGTTGTATGGTAAAGTCGCGTCGATAGATCTTTGCGTCCCAAAAATTTAAATGTGTAATGGGCATATGGCTTTTTCAGCCTTTTGAATTCTTATGAAATGAAAATACAAACAATGGAAGATTGCTTTTTCCAACCCTACTAAGGTGCATTGAACTTAAAATGAAGCGAACAATACATCTCAGCGATCACAATTCCACCCTGCCTAATGAACGCAGTTTTGCTAAGTTTTTCTATACAGGGTGAATACTTTATCAGTCATTGTCGGCAGGAGTTGTGTCGACTCAATTATGCCTATGTATTCGGTAAACAAAAGAGAGCGATTTTTCTCTGGTCTGTCACTCAGAACAGCTTGATACTGGGTTGATAAACTTTGTCGTGTACCTGTGAAAATACACACTGGTTGAGATTGTCAATATCATCTCCGTGGGTTAAATCTATTTCATTATTGAAATGAGATTGGCGTTCATTTCGCGTTGATCTCATTATAGTGATAAATACATTATTCACTGCCCTCAATAAATTAAAGTTGGTAATCTCAATTGCCAGATAGAGGGGTTGAAATACTCAAGTTTACCCATTTACGCCACTAGAATTTGTTTGAGAAGTGGCCACTGAATTGGACAGGCGGGTTCATTGGTGATTTAAATCAAACGTGGTATGTATAGGTATATATATGTGGTACCGTTGTTAGTACTGGCATAATCAGTGCTTTGTTTGACTTGAGCTTATGCAGATTTCATGTGTGGGATTTATATTTTTTGTGCCAAGATTTTCGTAGTATTACTACTGGGTACTTTTATTATCACATGGCTAAATCTCGGTAGCTCGGCGGAGATTTTGTGGGTGAAAATGTTGTGCAAAGTGTAAAACGATGCCGGCGATTGGATTTGTAAACATCGTTTGTGTGTGTTCTCCATACAATAGCCGACATTCCTTTACAATAGATACACGTTTTGTTGTAGATTGAACTTGTATTTTATCCATGTGTCACCGGTGTTTAGTATAAACCGTGCTATTTCGAGATCTCAATATCGCACAGGCTTACATGTCAAATTGTACCGGTAGTTTCTTATGGAATCAACCTGCCTGGATTATATAAAACATGCATTCTGCAGATAAAAAACGTAAGCTGAAGCTACCGTCAGTCGAGGCTGTACAGAGGGCAGAATACGAGAAAAATGCCAAATCTGACAAAGGTATTGCCAAAGTGAACAGCGACACTAAACAAACGGTAAATGGAGAAAAAGGTAGCAAAAGTGAACTAACCAATGGTGAGGTACAAAAAAATGGAGAAACAATATCAAATGGAACGATAAAAACCAATGGTACCAATGGAGAAATAAAAGACAATGGAGAACATACAAGTAAAGATGAAAAGTTTGTGTGTTCTAAGTGTAAATGCAGGTAGGTGAGATAGGTTTTCTAGAATGTTTAAAATAATTTAGAAGGCATCTCCATACCTGAACATGTATGTAACAGTAGAATTTACACCTGACAATCAGAACGGAGCTGTCTAGATCTGTCTGGTTGTAAAATTTAGCTTGCCTGTGTAGATTGAATTGTGAGGGTCATTGCCCACAATAATTTATGGAGATATAGCTGGTAGATGGTCACTAATGAGATTTGTTGGTGATTAAAACAAAATGTGAACTGTGTTGTTAATAGTCAATCTTACGGGCAAGAAAAAAATTGGCCTGATATATAATATCGCTAATTCAGTCTGATTTTATACAGACCCAAAGAATCTTTGACTGATGAAAGATTTTGTGTTGTGTTAGTCTAGTGCTAGNGTGCTATGACCAAAGTATCTTTGACTTACATCAGCTGTGTTAATCTAGTGCTAGGACCAAAGTATCTAAGACTTTCATCAGCAGTGTTAGTCTAGTGCTAGGCCGATAGTATCTTTGACTTACATCAGCAGTGTTAGTCTAGTGCTAGGACCAAAGTATCTAAGACTTACATCAGCAGTGTTAGTCTAGTGCTAGGACCAAAGTATCTTTGACTTACATCAGCTGTGTTAGGCTAGTACTAGGACCAAAGTATCTTTGACTTACATCAGCAGTGTTAGTCTAGTGCTAGGACCAAAGTATCTTTGACTTACATCAGCAGTGTTAGTCTAGTGCTAGGACCAAAGTATCTAAGACTTACATCAGCAGTGTTAGTCTAGTGCTAGGACCAAAGTATCTAAGACTTACATCAGCAGTGTTAGTCTAGTGCTATGACCAAAGTATCTTTGACTTACATCAGCTGTGTTAATCTAGTGCTAGGACCAAAATATCTAAGACTTTCATCAGCAGTGTTAGTCTAGTGCTAGGACGAAAGTATCTTTGTCTTAAATCAGCTGTGTTAGTCTAGTACTAGGACCAAAATATCTAAGACTTAAATCAGCAGTGTTAGTCTAGTGCAAGGAGTAAAATATCTAAGACTTACATCAGCAGTGTTAGTCTAGTGCAAGGACCAAAGTCTTTGGGAAGTGAATCAATTTTTAATGTTTTATAAATGACTATTAGTCTATATTTCAGTCAACCATTAACACTTTTTCAGAAGTACTCATATAATGATACCCTCAAATTAGTTCCAATAAATCATGATACATATTTATACAAATTTAATGCTGAGTTACTTCAGTCTGTTGTTGATACGGGTCCTTTGTGCCTTTTCCTCTCTGCAGTGGGTTATAAATGTCTATGAATCACTACTTGTGCAGTAGCGTTTAAACCTTGTACCATTAACTCTAAGTAGAGATATTGTCACCCTTATAACATAACACATGCACAAGTTCTGATTGGCAGCTAGAACCCTTTACATGAACACGTGTTTCAGCTTGTAAGCATTGTCATCTTGATTATGACAAAGTGTTATTAACAGAAATTGATGCATTAGATCCAGTATTTTGGGGATTATTTTCTTAATTTTTTAATTCAAATGAGGTATTATCATAAAATGATCAAGATATCACACTAAAAAAACACAGCTAGTCAGACTGAAAAATATTTTTAAAACTATTTCCTGTTTGTCAGACACTAAATGTGAATTGAAGGATTGAGCTTTCTCGTGTGTGTTTGCGCTGTACATGTGCAAGTAACACTCCAAGTTCTACATTCTTACTCAAATGTTGACAATCGTGCCATGCTGAGTAAAACAAGTCTGTTCAATAGTGTATTTTACATGTGAGTGAGGACCTGTACTGGGTGCAGTAGATATAGGATCGGCTTATAAGTGTGTGTATATAAGATACGAGGAATTATGGATACAATGACCTGATCATGAGGAATCTCTGAATTTTGAGGTAGGAAGTTTTGAAGGGTTTGATCGACTTCCATATTTTAATGATAAATGATGACCTTTTTGTTTATAGTTGAAATACTTTTCAACAAGATGGTGAAGTACATTGAATCAGCATTAGTTCTTAGCTGTGTTGGGGCTAGAATGATCGGTTTGAGAGTATGTGATAACAGTTTGAGGGCCAGTCAGCAAGTGATGGGAGAAACAACAGTGGGAGGTGATCATGTCACTCCTCGGCAGATAATCGGAAATTTATTTACTTTAGGGTCATATCTGAAATATTAAATATGGTGGGTAGGGGTACTTCACTACAGGAGGGCTGATCAGGATGTGTGCATGTGTAGCTTTGTCATTTATAACATGTAAACTGTAGAAGTTTCCTAACGCTGATATTCATGTACATTTGAAGGGATTTTCCTGCTTAAATAATTGGGAGCTGAATTTCATCTGGATTCCCAAAATAGTGGTAATATGATTTAAAATTTCTTTCCTAGTTTTGTAAAGAAACAATCCTGAAATCGAAAATTGCAGAAAAGAATGATTATTTTGCTGAGATTTTGCTTCCAGCAGAAAGATTTAGTTTCTTAACTTTCCTAAATAAATGATTTCAGAAGACATCTTACATTCTTTCAAATACAATCAGTTTATTTTCTTAAATTATGAAAGTTTTTATTTTATTTTTTATGGTTCAATAATCATTCGCAGATACTCTTCTAAATCTATGAATTTGAAAAAAAAAAATATCCAAAGATAAAAAATGAATGCTAATTATGAAAGGTAACTTTATATATTATCAGATTTAAGAAGCGGTAGTGGTTCAGGACTTAGGGAAACCAAGAATAACTCTCCGATAGCCAAACAAATTTTGTCTAACTTTCCCACTGGTAAAGTTTTATAATTTATGAACGCCCTAATGCACCCTCATACCAAGAAAGTATGATACAATGACAGAACACAGGCTAAGACTCGGAAAATATTTCCCGAGTTCACACATCATTCATACAGAATGCATTTATTTCTGCTGCATCTATCAGCCGTGATAATTACCAGATGCACCAGCTGATTGGTGCTGTCTGTGTCGATCCCCCCCATCCTCTCTCTGATGCTTATCACAGCTGCTGTAACCAGGGGGGGAGAGTCACTAGAAGTCTCTGATTGGTTAATCTGATTACTTTCCCTCCCTATAATGGCTGAACTGTCAAACAGTTGATTCCAGTTTGATATATTACACTTGGTGTGAAGTTGTGAACTCAGTTTATAGGTTATATACATTCCAGTTTTAAGAATATAGTGGAACCTTTGTAAACTGACAAAATATAATGTAATTTATAACATGTTGTGTGAACTCGGTTTTGGATAATAAACATAATCTTAGTTTGTGTATAGTGAAATCTGTCTAAACCGAACATCATTATGTCATTTATAACATGTTGTGTGAACTCAGGCTATAGATAATAAACATACTCTTAGTTTGTGTATAGTGAAACCTGTCTAAACCGAACATAATTATGTCATTTATTACATGTCGTGTGAACTCAGTTTATAGATAATGAACATACTCTTAGTTTGTGTATAGTGAAACCTGTCTAAACCAAACATAATAATGTGATATATTACACTTGGTGTGAACTCCGTTTATAGATAATATACACACTGTTAGTTTGTGTATTGTGAAACCTGTCCAAACTGAACACCAAATAAACTTGTCTAAACCGACCAACACAGGAATATTTCCATTTGTGTTATACAGGATTCTAGATTACGCAAGCTCCATTTATTAGAAATACATACAAGAAGACCTAACAGAAGATCTGATTTTTACAGGTTTTCTCATTGAACAGGTTAATTCAACAAGTTGCTGGTTTACTCACAGTTTGGTGCAGACAGGTTAAATGGTGTTTATTTAATGTACCTGTCATTGCATGTGGTTGCTCCCTATACGTTTTGTACAAAATTTTGAAATATTACCTCAAGTTAAAACTTATGACTCATTTTTAGTAACATTTATTGCAGTGTAGCAAATTGTGTATCACATTTCGGAGGAAATTGGATGAAAATTAAATTAAAAAGCAGAAACCATGTAGCATGAAACATTTCCCAGTATTTTTTGGTATTTTTTGTAACTTCTCACAACACTTTGAAAATTTGAATACTTATCACCTCAGCGTAAACAAGATGAAAACTCAGAACTTTTATTTACGCTAAATGAATCTATAGATTATAAAATAAATAAATAAGAATTGTATTTTTAAAACATAATGTGTTGCACAGGTTTTATTTCTCCAACTCTAATGTACTGACTGAAATGTGTGCCCCTATGTTCCCCAGGTGCAGAATGACACTCTACATTATATATAGCCCCTGTGATAAGACGTGATAAGAAAACTTAATCCTAGGACTTGTGATAAACTTAAAAGAAACTTACAAACCTACCGGTCTCATGTGTGATGTGTTAATTGTCCTTCTAGTAAGTTTCGCCTTACAGTCTGTAAGTAGCGGTTCATTGGCGTATCAAATCGTGCTTGTTGTCCGAGTTTTGAATGACCTGAACTGCCGTTTATCACAGACAGCAAATTGGTTAAATTTACTAACTGCTGCTTTGAGATAATTAGCAATTATTTAATTATTGGACTCGTCTAAACTTTAGTGGGTTGAGTAGGAATGTTTTTTCATTAATTTTAAAGAGATAGAAAAAAAAATTGCATGAATTTGTATGGCCTACATTTTGTTGTATACCACAAGTCTTGCATCATAAACACTGACTAATATAGTTAACCAACAGTTCAGCTATCTCATGTTTCTGAAGTACACGTAGTGGTCTGCCTCGATAAAACTAGTCTACATGTGTTGTATAAGGAAATATAAATCTTTATGGCAATTTTTTAAAATTGCTGCATACAGTAGACCAGGTATGGTGTGATAAAGTTCATGTGAGCTTATCTTATTTTACTTGGAATGTTGGACTATATAGCTATATCTTGTACAGGTTTGATAGGGATTGGAGACATGGGACATTCAAGTTTTGTATTTTGTCCTGAGGCAGCTGACATTGCCGAAGGGGATTGATCACTTGGTCAGATATGACGGTGTAATTACAGGATGTCCTTGATGTCAGGTGCTGATAGAGTCAGCTTTCGATCACTGTATCACTGTCTGTGAGGTCAGCATACAGATGCAGAAAGGCATGTGTTGGACTTTTGTTTCACATCTACAGAAGCTGCTACTGGTCACTGAGAAAAAAACAATTATGTTGTAATAACGACTTACTATCTTGTAATAACGACATAGCTATGTCGTAATTACAATAGACCTGTAGCTATATCGTTAATGTGACATAGTAAGTCGTTCATACGAAGAGTAAGTTTTAATTACAAGATAAAAGTCGTTAATACGACATAGCTATGTCGTTTTTATGACATGATTATGTCATTATTAGCTATTTCGTTTAAAAGCAATAATGAGTCGTAATTACGAGATAGAAAGTCATTAATACAACATAGCTTTGTCGTTTTTATGACATAAATATGTCATTATTAGCTATTTCGTTTAAAAGCAATAATGAGTCGTAATTACGAGATAGCAAGTCGTTAATACGACATATGTCGTAATAACAACATTGTGATGACATTATTATGAAATAACTATGTCCTTATTACAAGATCATAAGTTGTTATTAAGACGTTGTGTATATTTTTTTTGTTTATCTATACCGGTGCCGGTATATATCTTTGTTGTCCTTTAAATAAACATTTCCAGTACTATGTATCAGATACCTGTCGATCTGCCTGTGAAATTAAAATTATTGCATATGAATTTGTTTCAGGATGACGCTTGAGGCTGAAGAAGAAGAGGAGAAAGGGAAGGATATTAACCTCCATCTCAACAATAACGGGTACCACCCTGAACGCGACAAGCCCATGATTCACCCATGTGTGGACCCCCCAGTCTGCGACAGCTGTCAAAAGCTCGAACTCTCATTCTTCGACCCTGGATGTCCTGGTTGTCACGACATCCTGGTCAACCCAGACACAACCGTCCCTGAAATATTTGCTGTTCTCCGACAATGGACCCCACAGACACAACAGAATTTAGAACTTCTCATTAATGAGGTATGAAGTATAAGAAACAACAATTCTTCAGTCAGGTGTTGCTTTCCTTGCTTATATTTACCTGAACAGTCCAAGGCTGACTCATTTTCAAAGACACTTCTGTTGTTGGTTCAGATGATGGCCCACCAAGTGGGTTGTGGGCTGAAACATGTAAACTGGATTAAATTTCCCGCGACTCCCCATTTGAATGTTGTCTAGTCAACTCTTCTTTTCAATTTCAATTAATCTTATGGCCAGACTAGTGAATACCATTTAGAAATCCATCAATTGGGCTATGTAGAACTTCATTGATCATCCACTTGCAGACATTTGATCTTATTTCCCCTTGTATTTGCTACCGTTATAAAAGTAAGACGGTAAAAAAAGTTCAAGCAACTTCCTATTATGAACAAATGATTGGAATCGGCAAAAGGGAAAATATCTGAATTTTTAGGGAATGTGAGTTCAAAGTTCTCGTGTTAGTCAGAAGGAGATTCATTTCAAGGTTCTTACAGATTCTGAATTTAGGGCCTCACCTACAACTTTGCATAATATTGGACAAGTAGTTGTGAAATTCCTTATTTCAAAGTTATTTACAAAAAATTCTAATTTTCTAAAGAAATTAATTAACAGATGAAAAAAATAAAAAGATAAAAGGTGACACTTAAACGTCTTCAGAATTGAAGTATCTGTTTGTTGTATTTACCCATAAAAACTGAACATTTCTGTTCTTCAATAACAATTATCAAATATGCATTTATATAACTTATTCTTATTCACAGATTTTAAAGCGGAGTGCCCACATCAACGACAGAGATGGGTTGACAGATATGACACTGCTACAGTACGCCAGCAAATCTGGGGCAGCAGGGATTGGTGACTCTGAGGTTGCTTCAAGGGTCGTAACCATGCTGATCTCCAAGGGCGCAGATGTCAACATTCGGTGTCGTTGGACCAATATGACTGCCCTCCATTATGCGGCTTACTTTGATGTTGTACCTGTGATAAAAGTTCTTCTCAAAACTACAAAAGCTTTAGGTACTGGTGATTATATAAAACTATAAAAGCTTTAAGTACTGGTGTTTATATAAAACTACAAAAGCTTTAGGTACTGGTGTTTATATAAAACTATAAAAGCTTTAGGTACTGGTGTTTATATAAAACAACAAAAGCTTTAGGTACTGGTGTTGATAAAAACCAAGAATCTGTAGGTACTGTACTTGTATATCAAACTACAAAAGCTTTATGAAATGATATTATGTATAAAACTATAAAAAATTACGTTCTGTATGCAAAACTACAAAGTCTTCCGGAGCTGTCCTTGTATGCCAAACCTCAAAACTTTTAAGTTCTATTTTATGTATAAAGCTATAAAAAAAAATCAGGTACTGTCCTTATGTACAAAATTAAAAAGATTTTAGGACTGTGTTTAGATAAAACTGCAAAGGCTTAGGAGCTGTCCTTGTATACAAAACTACAAAGTCTTAGGATCTGTCCTTGTATACAAAACTACAAAAGCTTTAGGATCTGTCCTTGTATACAAAACTACAAAAGCTTTAGGATCTGTCCTTATACAAAACGACCAAATCTTAGGATCTGTCCTTGTATACAAAACTACAAAAGCTTTAGGAATTGTCTTTGTATACAAAACTACAAAAGCTTTGCGATCTGTCCTTGTATACAAAACTGCAAAAGCTTTAGGAGCTGTCCTTGTATACAAAACTACAAAAGCTTTAGGTTCTGTCCTTGTATACAAAACTACAAAAGCTTTAGGAGCTGTCCTTGTATACAAAACTACAAAAGCTTTAGGTTCTGTCCTTGTATACAAAACTACAAAAGCTTTATGATCTGTCCTTGTATACAAAACTACCAAATCTTAGGATCTGTCCTCGTATACAAAACTACAAAAGCTTTAGGATCTGTCCTTGTATACAAAACTTCAAATGCATTAGGTATTGTCCAGAAGGAAATAAACAATTCCAACAAGTTGAGGAATTTAATAACAAAATTATATAGCGAGATCTTTGTTTTATAAGAAAGAAAAAGACCTTAATACCATTGATAATAGAAAAAAAATCAGCTCCAAATAAGAAGGCAAGAAATTCATTGTATTATATCACTTTGATTGAAAATTACCCTGTAATAATTTCCTTTTGATTTTTAGTAAATATAATTTTGTCCTATATTGTTATTTACATAATTTGTTTTCAACAGATATAGACAGCACGTGTTCAGAGTTTGACCATGGCAGTTCGTTACACATCGCTGCCTCCAACCTGGCCTATGAAGCTGTGAAAGTACTCCTCCAGAACGGTGCTAACCCAATGATGAAAGACAACATGGGCCGGGGGCCATTAGGTGCGTTGTAAAATATTTTTACAAAAAGTTTCAGATGGAAAATGTTGGCCAGGAGCATACAACTTTGTCAGGGTTTGCTGTCAGACATGGCCCAGTGGTGCTCATATAAATTAAATTGCAATATATAAATCTGATTTCTAAAACCCATTTCTCCAGAATTCCATAACTAATATTTGATGAATCATTTTGTGATTTTTACCATCCAGTCATCAAGATATCAGAATCTGAAGTTAGATTTGACCGTATCACTATATAAATTTGATAATATTTCAAAAAAGGCTATGTACACTATGATATTCCATTGCTTTAAAAAAAAAAAATCAAATGTTTTCACCAGTATCGTAAGGTTTAATTGGTTTAATTAAAAAAAACTTAAACTATGTATGAATTATGGGGTTAGGTGACTGAAAATTTCTTACGTTTCATTTTGCTTTCCAGAATGCATTCCAGATCCAACCAATTTAGATTCCGATCCAGAAATGGCAAAATTGGTGGTCAAGTTGAAGAAGACCCTCCAGGAGTCCTGTCAGCCAGTGATCAAGGTTCCTCCCCCGAACTACGACCTCATCCAGTCTAAGGTCACACTGCAGGCCCTAGGGATCACACTGGGAGACAAGGTCGTTGTAGGTGGTGTCAAGGTGAGGAAACCATTGAATTTCAAAATTTATTAAAGGGGAGGCTACTCTGTTAGTCTTGTGTAAATGTCAAAATTCTAGTGATGATGGTTTTTATTTTTCACCAAATTAAGATTATCTTTTTCTGAACAAGTGATTTTCCCGAAATTGTGGTAAGATGTTGATTATTCAGATTGGAGAAATATTAGATTTATATAAAATGAGGGAAATACGATATGCATTCTTCAAAAGAAAAAGGCTTTAATAGGCCCTGAATATATATATAAATCACTTCAGTTACATTTAAATCCATAAAAACAAATTGTGAGTTTAAGTATCTCATAAGTATTTATTAAGACACATTGAATAAATGTCTATAATAGAGTGTATCATAGGTATATATGTGGGGTATGGACATTTGAGGGTTGAGGGTGTTCCCTAGGTGCTCTCACTTTCTAATGGCAAGATTGTGACATTCAATCAAACAACATTTTGATGGGCTTTCGATTGTGATGTCATAATTTAATGTTGCCATCTGACTGTGGCGTCATATTAGTATAGGTCACTCATATGGGATACACATATATCCCACGTAAGTGTCCTGGGACCCATGTAGTTCTACTGTATGTTTTTGTTGATTAACAAATCAGATACCGTCAAATATCAAATACCTGATTTTCTTGGCGTTTTACAAGTTTGATATAAAGCAATTCTCTGTTTTTATGTTTCCACAAAAATGGTGTTTTTTCGGGAAATAACAAAATTTGGGCCCCAATAAAATATCTGATTAGGAATAAATTGTTTGAAAACAATATCCAAGAAAAAGTGTGCACCAAAGAAAGCAATTAAAAATGTATTCTGCTCATAAATCTGACAAGTTAGAATCACATGAATGTAACACTTGTTTTATGTCATCAGACTGGGACCCTGAAATATTGTGGGCCAACAGAGTTTGCTGGAGGTCTCTGGGCGGGGATAGAATTGGACGAACCCGGAGGTAAAAATGACGGCAGTGTTGGCGGGATTTCCTACTTTCAGTGTGCACACAGCCAAGGTAGGTTTTTAAAATTCACAAAATGGTAAAACAGAATGAAACATTAAAAAAATGGACAACAAAAAAATATAGGCATCACATGCAAGCGTATCAAAGAAATATTTTAAAATTTTAAAACATGATATGGAATCATGGATGTTAGATGATGCTTAAAATTGTTTTTTATAGAACTTTACATGGTGTTTTATAGAACTTTACATGGTGTTTTATAGAACTTTACATGGTGATTTGTTGTGTTTACATGGTGATTTGTTGTGTTTACATGGTGTTTTGTTGTGTTTACATGGTGTTTTGTTGTGTTTGCATGGTGTTTTGTTCTGTTTACATGGTGTTTTGTTGTGTTTACATGGGGTTTTGTTGTGTTTACATGGTGTTTTGTTGTGTTTATATGGTGTTTGGTGGTTTGCTGTGTTTACATGGTGTTTTGTTGTGTTTACATGGGGTTTTGTTGTGTTTACATGGTGTTTTGTTGTGTGTACATGGTGTTTTGTTGTGTTTGCATGGTGTTTTGTTCTGTTTACATGGTGTTTTGTTGTGTTTACATGGGGTTTTGTTGTGTTTGCATGGTGTTTTGTTGTGTTTGCATGGTGTTTTGTTGTGTTTGCATGGTGTTTTGTTCTGTTTACATGGTGTTTTGTTGTGTTTACATGGTGTTTTGTTGTGTTTGGAAGTATATGTCAACTCAGTCTCATGTTTTCATCAAACAATTCTGGGCTGTAAATATGAAGTTTGAGAAAAGAGATTTCAGATGTCTTCTGTAGAAATACTCAGAAATTCGTTTTGTTACTGTAAAATCATAAATCTTTCGTCGGACATTAAATTTTGTTTATTTCGTGGATAACTAAAATCCACGAAATTACCAGGTAAATCCCTGCGAAAACATAAATTTGGTTTGATATAGATAGGGGGAAATCAAAAATCAGCGAAATATTATGTCTTCGAAACAGGCTAGTATATTAAAACCACGAAATTTTAACCCCAGGAAAATATATGATTCTACAGTATATGATATCATCATTTTAACATTTGGACCTTCCCTATGAATGTAGATGGAAAGATATAGATGTACAGTAATGTTTACTTTCCTGCAACATTTGGTCAGAAATTTAGATTTTATTAAAAGACAGGTGCTAACATGGAATTATTCGATGGACTGTGGAGAGTAAGATCTTGCAAGATGGTAGCCTCCCTTACTGAAGTGTATACAGGCCTTTCTGCTTCCTATGTTTACACCTTGCCTTTTACAACAAAGCAGTATATCTAATCAAATCTTACGCTTGAAGTGATAATCTCTGATAAAGTTCATTTTACCTCCAGCTGCCACAAGAATAACAATAGTTTCACGTATTTACACTGCATTTCATTCTGTCTTTGAGATGAATTAATGAATATACACATGTGAAATGATATCAGAACTAACTTGAGTTACCTCCCTTTCTTAAAAGTATTTTATGGCTGTCGTTTTTTCATTGGATAAACATGAACTGTATTGTACCAATGATAAGCCCATGCCCGGTAATAAGCCCAACCCCTCTTTCTTCAAGTTCGTTGATGTTGGTGAAAAGAACTTTTATCTTGTTGAACAGATAGTTCAAATTTTGTGAAAATTAGGCATTATTTTCCGGGTAAAAATATGCTGAACTCAGAAAAATGTAGAGGAATAACTGTTTGTAGTGTATTTGTTTATACAATTTAGTTTTGTTTGATCTACAGGTATATTTGCACCAGTCAGCAAGATTGCTAGACCAGGAAGTGTACCAGCCCCACGCTCACCCTCAGCTACCATGTCTCCCAACAAAACACAACAGAAAGCTGCAGCTGTCGATGTTTCCAATGTCAAGGCCAGAGTTGACACAGGTATGTAGATCAGGGTTAAAGGTCATTTTATGTAGAAAAAAAGGAGGTCAAGGTCAGAGTGGACTTGGATCAATATGCTTAAAAGAACATGGTAGACACATGAAAATCAAGGTCATGGTGTACACAGCTCATACAGAATAGATTATCAGACTCGGAATAGACAATGGTTCGAAGGTCAAGGTAGATAGAGGTCAGAAGTTCAAGGTTAGAGTAGAAACAAGTCGGAGGTTAGAATAGATACAGGTCATGTAGTTTAAGGTAAGTTTTGATAAAGTTTAGAAGAGCTAGTAAAAGTAAACAATGTTAGTATTTCAAGGTCAGAATAGATACAGATCAGTAGTTCAAGGTCAGAATAGATACGGATCAGTATTTCTCGGTCAGAATAGATACAGATCAGTAGTTCAAGGTCAGAATAGATACGGATCAGTATTTCTCGGTCAGAATAGATACAAATCAGTAGTTCAAGGTCAGAATAGATACGGATCAGTATTTCTCGGTCAGAATAGATAAGGATCAGTAGTTCAAGGTCAGAATAGATACGAATCAGTAGTTCAAGGTCAGAATAGATACGGATCAGTATTTCTCAGTCAGAATAGATACAGATCAGTAGTTCAAGGTCAGAATAGATATGGATCAGTATTTCTCGGTCAGAATAGATACGGATCAGTAGTTCACGGTCAGAGAAGATATGGATCAGTAGTTCTAGGTTACAAAACAACAGGAGGTCAGAAGTTCAAGGTATATGTATAATGTTATAGATGTACAGGAAGTCAAAAATATCATTTTGAATTTATGATTTTCAACTTAGGTGAGGTTTACCACTTAAATGGTCTGTTTAGACAGGTTTGAACTATTTTGAGTGCCTTGTATAGTGATTGATAGGTGTTACAAAAAAAGTTAAAGTTACAAACTTGTTTTTCCCATTTTATAATGAATCTCTTTTGGGAAAAAAAGACCAGTTAATAAAATCCATTGAACCTTATACATTTATTCATGTATATGTACAAAAGTAATACAAATAATCACATTTCTATATATTAACTGAATATCAATTAATACTATTGTGACAATTAGACTTCCTAGATGTCTAGATATCTTTAATGTCATACAATGTAAGCCATTCTTCGCGCACTCCATCATCAACCAATCAATTAACGAAATGCAGATAAATAACATCATTACCAGCCACAGGCTTTCCATTGATGTCTTACCTATGAGATACCTATGAGAGAATAGTCAGTGTTTAACTTGGATAAAACTGCATGCTATTTGTTACTGTATGAATCAGGTATAAAAGCACCGTCACTTTACGGTACGGGTGAGTAAATTGAAATTTTGATGTCATGTCCAAGTTTTGAAATTTCCCGTTGATGAGTTTAAGTTTTGTGGTGAAAAGAATGAATGCTGCCTTCTGTTGTTCTCTATCCTATAGTTTTAACTCATTCACCCCTGAAGACACATTTGAACTCTTCCAATTTAAAGGTTGGTATAGTTCATTATGAAATATCGGGGGTGAACGAGTTAAATGTTACAGTTTATGTTAGAATTAATGGAAAAAAGGTTCTGCATTAAAGTCGACAGTGCAAGTTAAAAAGTTTTCTGTCAAGATTCAAATAAAAAGAAAGTTGTCATATCCTAGAAAATGCCAACATTTTAGCTTGTGCTTGCTTGGTAAAGTGAGTAGGCCTCCCTTGGTGTAAAAAATACCTAATCTGTCAAAGCGATTGAAAGCTTTTCGATTTGCACTGTCAGCTTTAATAAAAGGTAATACATTTATTGTAAAATTTGAAACATTGGTTAGGAAATTACCATTTCTGAAAGACAATGTTTGTTTTAATGAGAAGGGATTAACCAAAAAAAAAGAAAAGGTCTTTTCTCCAAAATATGGACAATGGATAGCTATATATGGTATTTAATTCTTTTACTACATGATATCAAAAGATTAGTTGAAATTATGTTAATTCCTAAACCATTTAAACCTGTTTGCATGTACCCCTGATTACAAGTGTGTGATTCATTTGCCCCCAAATCCTGTTAAAAATAAAACTCATATTTTATCAAAGTTTCTACTAGTATGTTCATACTGGCAATGAATCATGAGGTCCAATAGAGTAGACTTGTTCAAGTCCAAAATATTAATGTTTTAGACGCTAAATTGTTTCAAACATCTGTGATCCAAATTGGCATGGAAAAAATTCAGCATCTCTTTATTGTGATGTAAATGTTGCTCTGTACAGGCACACAGTTGTCTGTGTTTAACATACACTTATGAAACAGAAATGTATTTCATCTTCTTAAAAAGGTGGTTTTTATAACAGAGGTTCAAATGGAATGATTTATTTACAATGTTTCCTGTACGTACGTGACACAAGATATTGATGGAGTAGTCATGACATCACCATGTACCTGTGGATAGTGCCCAGGTGTATAAACAGCAGTAGATCAAGGCACTATTTCTCACATCTGCATGCAATGTGTTTCTTCCTTGTGTTGTTATACCCATCCGTGAAGGTCTTTAAGTGTTGTCCTTGTTCATTTTCCAGTACATATGTTTCTTCAGTTCAGTTTTACATGTAAGTCTGTAATGGACCAAATACTGCAGCCAGGGCCATATAACTAAAGCATGTTTGACAGCATTTTTGTAACATTTACCTTTGACCTTGACCTCTGTGACCTTGGTTACATTTTTAGCCCACTATCAGATGATGGTGGGCTATTCAAATCGCCCTGCGTCCGTCATCCGTCCATTTCCGTCCTTAAACAATTCTTGTTATCGCTATTTCTCAGGAAGTATCACAGGGATCTTTCTCAAATTTTATATGTAGGTTGTTCTTGATCCGTAGTTGTGCATATTTACTTTTGAGACTGATCAAATAAACAAAATGGCCGACAGGCAGCCATCTTGGATTTTTTGACAGTGAATGTTTGTTATCGCTATTTCTCAATAAGTGCTGGAGAGATCTTTCTCAAATTTAACATGTAGGTTCCCCATGGTTTGTCGTTGTGCTTGTTTAATTTGAGAATGATCATATACACAAAATGGCCGACAGGCAGCCATCTTGAATTTTGACTGAAAGTTTGTTATTGCTATTTCTTAGGAAGCACTGGAGGGATCTTTCTCAAATTATATGTGTAGGTTCCCCTCGGTCTGGAGTTGTGCATGTTTAATTTTGAGACTCATCAGATAAACAAAATGGCTGACAGGCAGCCATCTTGAATTTCGACAGTGAAGGTTTATAATAGCTATTTCTCAATAAGGACTGTAGAGATCTTTCTCAAATTTGACATGTAGGTTCCCCTTGGTATGTAGTTGTGCATATGAGACTGATCGGATAAACAAATCTTTGATTTTGACAGTAAAGGTTTGTTAGTGCGATTTCCCAAGAAGTACTGGAGGGTTCTTTCTCAAATGTTTATATGCAGGTTCCCCACTGTTCTTTTTTGTTCATGTTTACTTTTGAAACTGATCAGATAAACAAAATTGACGACAGGCAGCCATCTTTAATTTTGACACTGAATGGGTGTTTTTGCTATTTCTCAGGAATTTCTGGAGGGTTCTTTCTCAAATTTTGTGTGAAGGTTTCCCTAAGTCTGTAGTTGAGCCTGTTCACTTTTTGAGACTGATCGTATTAACAAAATGGCCAAAAAGGAGGCTATCTTGGATTGTAGCAGTTAATGTTTGTTATCGCCATTTCTCAGGAAGTTCTGGAGATATCTTTCTTGAATATTGTGTGTAGGTTCCCCTTTGTCTATAGTTGTGCATGTTGAATTTTGAGACTGATCGATTAAACGAAATGGCTGACTGACGGCCCTCTTGGATTTTGACAGTGAATGTTTGTTATGGCTATTTCTCAGGAGTTTTTGACGGATCTTTCTCAATTTTGATATGTAGATTCCCCTTGGTCTGCAATTGTGCATATTTACTTTGGAGAGAGATCATAAAAACAAGATGGCCACAGGAAGTGCTAATGAGATCTTACATTTAAAGCATTGTACTAGTAAATATGTGAAACGGTGCATTTACTGTTTACATGACTTGATCAAACAGATAAGAGAAAGGAAGAGAAAAGATCAAACTGACATAAACTTATGAAGGTGGCACAATGGTTGGTGCCAAGATCCCTCTGTGATCTCTTGTTTTGAGTTTTGGAGTGGGACATCCATGCTTTACAGACACATTTCTAACTTAAGTATTTTTACCCAATATTTCCAGTGAATGTATATATTTCAGAATGCTACTTTTCGCAGGTTAGTGTCCAAAAACACACATCACAAACACCTATAGTTGAACACTTCCTATTTTATCAATATACACATATGTTGTCCAGTGAAATATATGGGTTGAACTCTGGGGATGTTTTATGTCTTTGTCGTATTTTCCTGTAAAAAAGTTACAGCAGCTGGTTTGACAGTATATGTTCAGATACCTTTGTCGAAAAACAAGCAGATTTCTCTGGCGCAGACTAAT